AGAGCCCCCGAAGGAAGCTGAGCATCTCACTCCAGTGCAGGAGCAGCACTGACAGCCTCATCTGTATTGCTGGGGGTGGCCTGTCCACAAAGGGGGTTTTCCTCCCCTCACCTGTTGTAAGAGCCTCCCTTTTGCTGTCACGTCACTGCCTGAAAATAAAATAAAATAAAAGCACTAATAAACTAACAGTAAGTTTTTGAACACGAATGTTGAGTACTTGAGTGCTTCCTCTGCGGTGCTGTTTGCTGCCAGCAGCGCCATCCCTGTACGCCTGGAGCCTCACACGTCTCCTCATCCCCGGGAGCTGCCCTTTCCAGCGCTCTCTTACCTTGGAGCAGCAGTTGGAGCCGGGCAATGGGCACAGCAGCCACTGAGGAGCTGTGGGAATCTCAGGCACATGGAGGGAGCCACGAACGAGCCTAGCCGAGACCTCCCTCTTCACTCCGGGGAAGAGCCGCGGCGCTGGGAGCCTCTGAGCACAGGAGCAGTTTGTCCAGGAGCATCCTGGTGCTGGGGACCAGAGCGGCTGCGCTGGAGCAGGAGTGTGGAGAAACGTTTCAGGGAGCTCCTGCCCTGGCAGCGAGAAGGAAAAACGTTGGGTTAGAGACCAGCTCCCAAAGCGGTGCCCTGGAAAGGGCAAGTCCTGTCTTAGTCACAGTGATACAAGAGAAGATCATTTAAGTGTTGTCCGAGTGCCCAAACATGCAGGACCACCTTAGTGCTGAGGCGGGGAGGCAGCGCTGCAGAGTCGCCCTGCGCCACGTGGAAACGCGGCAGACCGTCCCGAGCATCCCCCCGGGTGGCCGAGCGCGTGCGCCCTGGCCGCGGCCAGCACAGCGCGGGGCATTGCAGGGCGCCAGGCGCGACGGGCCAGCCTGCTCGTACTGCCAACCCGCGTCCTCTCACGGCTTCCTGGGTTTTCTCCATTGATGTCACCAAAGGTGACAGTTTCGGGGGTGCTTTTGCTTTGTTTTTTCAGAGCCCTGATGCCACCTGCAAGCAGCAGCTGCTCCTGTCCCCACCCTGACTGCTGGGGTTTCCTTACTTGGTCCCATTCTTAGTTTGATGCTTTTATCTGCACCACCCGGTGCTCAGATTCCAGCTCTTAGCACCTGCAGCCACCCAAGGTGCACAGAGCAAAGGGCTGTTGGGATAGAAATATGATGCCCAAGAGATGCCCATTCTGCACAGCCTCCAGGACCCAGGCACATGCTCCCACCTGCAACACAGGAGATCAGAGACAGAAGTACCGTGTACAAAAAAAGTTTTTCATCCTCCTGAAGTTGAAAAACCTTGAGATTTTTCAACCTCAAGCTCCACAAAGGCATCTTGGCCAGAGAAAAGCCTAGTGCAGTATTAACCTCCATAACATCATGGCAAGAACAGGCAGAGGAGCTACAGGGATCACACCAGTTGTGTTCTGGCCCCATGGCAGGACAGGGGCAGAGCAGATCAAACCTCAAAATGCCAGCACAGACCTGAGCAAAACAGGCAATTCCTGCACTAGACAGACAAATAAATCAGGAGTCCATGCTATATTCTTAAATATGGTTTAATACTCTTCTCCATTTCTGTACATCACAACACCAAGATATCACTGCTTGGGATCTCTCTGCAGAGGCTATATAGTATGCGAAGGCTAGGATTTTTCACCCCCGTTTAATGTGTTTGTATGTGTAAGTGTAATACATATCAGTATATATTGATATACACATCAATATATAATGCAATATATATCACTGAAGAGAACACATTGATTAAAGAAATACAAAAATTTGGCATCATTTCCAAACTTAAATAGTAAAAATAAAAACTACAAAAAGGAGCTGCATACCCTAATGTATCATGTGAAACAACAAGCAGTATATTCAAAAATGTAAATTTACATCCAATTTCTCTGGTCTTGTCATGTCACATTAGACCCATTTACAATGGCAGAATCCAGAACATACCGCTTTGAAGCCCACAGCCCTGCTCAAGCTCGGGTTGCTGCATGGCTACTCGGCCACCTTCTACAAGAGATTCCAGCTTTGATGTGGAAGTGACAGCAAAACCATCTGCCAGATTAGAAACCAGGGTTACACCTTGTATCGCTCACTGGGACAGGAATTGTGGACCTCGAAGTACAGTGTGGCAGAAGTTAAGACAGGCACCCCCTCCGTTCAAGTGAAAGCAGTTATTGGTAGCATAGCCCAAGGTAGCAACTTGGGCACAGCTGCTGCTTTTGCCCAATGCCCCAGGGGACAGCGGTGGTGAAGAACGGAACCATCGACACTCGGCTGTCCCAGTGCCCATGCGAGAGCCCAATAACCCAGAAAGAGGCAAGATTTGTGCATTATTTCCTGCCAACGCTACCCTGACCCTCTGCCTACGGGGCTGTCTGAAAAGCCCTTTGACATTTGAAGCGGTTTGCACTGCATCCCATATAGCAGGCTTGACAAAAAAGCTTGCTTGAGCCTTGATGCAAAAGCTTTAACCCATGTAGGGCACATTAGAGTTCAGCATTAGATTTACAGGACACTTGTTGAGCCAACAGGACAGACAGCCTTAGTGCTGGGAAATGGATGCCCCCGCGGGGTGGGCTGAGGTTCAACACGTTCTGTGCTAAATGCTCCAAATGCACCAGCACGAAGGCTTCCGTCGAGGACTCCACTCCTTAGTTATTCCTGTAAAACACCCGCTTCCAGTGCAGAACTGTGGGTTCAATCAAATTCACATAATCAAGGAAACCTTACGCAGTCCTAAAGCAAAACAAAACAAAAAATCAAAAATAAAAAAAACAAGGAACAAAAAGCAAAGTGTACCTTACTTCACTTAAATTGCATGTTTATTTTTGTAAAGACTGAAAAAAAAAAAAATGAAGGCTGCACCACTCAAATCCAAATTAAGCCTAAGACTTCAGCAGCATTTTCATTGCAATCAATGAAGTGCATTTCCTAGTTTGTAAGAGCAGTGCTCTGCAAGTAGATTAAAGTACTTTTTGGCTGGTAAGCCTCCCCAAACCATCTGAATTTGCAAGCCACACCTCATAAGCTGGCACTCTAGGCAAGTGCCTTCTCATTCTTGCAAAGAGAATGAATGGCTCCCGTTTTGTTACGTTTCTTCTTCTGCAGTCTAAGCTGAGAATGCCATGTAAATGGGTCGTGTCACTGCCAAATGCAGCAATTGATTTATCCAATCAAAGTAAAAAGAAACAAACCAATAGGATCTTACTTCTATTAATTTTGAAGGAAGAGGTTTACAGCAGTTAATGTATCATGAAGGTTAAAAAAATCATTTTCATAAAATACAAGAGCAACCAATTTCACCATTGAGTAAAAGTAAAAACCGGGATTCCTTTTAAATTAGTCCCAAGTGGCATATAGGAACTTAGTAGTTTGCTGCTGTACTGACACTATGACAAATCAAAGTGTAGGGCTTTGCTTTTTTAAATCCAATGCTTGTGGATCAAGTTCTGGAAATGTTCCAATTCTAAGGCAGGGATCTGTTGTGTTTTCCACCATGAGTTTGCTCCTTGGGTTGGATGCTGGAGGGGCGAGGCACGTTTTGCCGGACCCAGGTCGACTACCTAGTAGTCATCAAGGTCAAAAAATTCGTCGTCTCCTCCTTGGTATTCCATTCCCTGGAAGTCCACTCGGTACCGCAAGATACCTAGGAAAAACAGAACACTTCAGCTTCGTCCAAACCCAGAGAGCTAGAAAGGCACCAGAAGCAGCTTGCTGAGCCCTCGCACAAGAGCGCTGAGGTCTCTGCATCCGAGTCTCCAGACGCTGATCACTTAGTTTTGGGCACAATCTGCTACGGTTGCCAGCAGATACTCAACTATATGACGTTTCTGCATCCACGTTGGCCTGATAATTCGATCATAGAGTCATTATAGTTGGAAAAGAGTCCAACCATTTATTCCCCAAAGGAATCAAAACCTACCTGTCCAGTGTAGGGTAGGACATATACCTCCAGAAAGATTATACCAGAAGCAAACATTGGTCCTGATACACTTGCTCAGTGCCTGGGACTTTATGGCCAAACAGTAAATGGAGCTGACACTGAAAGAGCTTTCAGGAGGGAACACAAGTGATGCTCAGTGGCATCTTTGGGGACTTTCTCCCCCACCCCAGCCCAGGCCTCTGGGAAACCTTCATCCCTGGAAGCACTCGCTTGGGTGAAGGGTATTCAAGTGTGGCCTTTTAAGGCCACAGGGACAGCAGCAAACATCCCCACTGGGCAAACAGGCCGGATCTGGCAGGTTGGGGAGAACTCCTGGAAGTCAAACCCTGAAAACACAGAAGCCTCATTGCACACGAAGACAAACTGTTCAAAAACTGCTGACTGGCACCCTTTGCCCCCTGTAACTTTCTATAATAATTCACCTCTACTTTACCTCCATCAAGCTACACACAGTAAATGTTCAACTAACCCAGAGCTAGACGTGCTGCTGTTGGGCAGCAGTCGCCCCACCAGCAAATAAGCAACAAAAGCGTCATGGGATCTGTCACCT